TTTAATGCTTTGTGTTGCTTTTTTGGCAATTCGTCTGCTCTCTCATTACCTTCTTTATTGTTACGCGTTTTAATCCAAGAGATTTGAATCGCGGTGTCCATTAGTGCATGTTGAATGTCTTTGGTTATGAGGTTAGTTGATCCTGCGTCTTTAATTGATGTTATTGAGGCTTTAGAGTCTGACCAGATTATGTAATTTATTTTTCTGTTAAAGTTTGAGTTATTTTTGATGTGTTTTACACATTCTAATATTGCCAATTGTTCGGCCTGAAAAATAGAGTTGTTAATAACCAATGTGAAGGCTTGTGAATGAGCATTGTTAAGAAATGCGAATGCAGTGCTTGTTTCAGTTTTGGAGCCGTCTTTGAAGAAGTTGGTATCTTTTCTAAAGTCGTAGTTACCTTGCTCAGTTAAAGAGATTTTGTTTTTTATATAATAAGATGGGTGATAAATTGGAACTTTTAATTTATTTTCATAGTCCTGATGATTATAACTTATCTGATGGAAGAATGCATTTTTTTAAATTTTATTTAATGTTGTTGAGCATGACAAGAGGTCTGGAATGGGGGGAATATTTGTTAAAACATGAAAAGCTGCCGTGGGGGTAGAGTGGTATGCCCTGGTCATATTCAAAAGGAATTTGCGTTGAATCGAAATTAAGGTTCTAGATATCCGGGATGAGATATTTTTTGCCCAAATATTGCAACCGTGTGCTAGAGAGGGGACTATTACCGTGTTATATATGAGTTTTCTTGCTTTTTGATTTATTCCCCAAGATTTATTATTAATTTTGTAAAGAGAATTGAGAAGAGTGTTTGCCTTTTCTTTAAGGATATTGACATGAGGACCCCAATTCAATTTTTATCGATTACAACTCCAAGGTACCTAAAATGATTTGTTTGCTTAATTTTTCCATTGTTGCACCCCTGTCCAAGATTGCACCCCTGTTAGTGTTGTAAAAAGTCGCTTTCAGCCGCTGCAGGGAAAGTTTGTGATATGCGTGTGTTTCAGAATGTTCGCCTATCTTTTCTTCGCTAATGTACTGCGTACATAGCCGCTGCCGGCCACTGTTTCGAACACTTATTATAATCACATGCTCTTCACATGCACATATTGTACTAAATTTGCCTTTATAACTTAACAGCTTCGCTCTTTGTGTGTTTTTGCCTCATATAAGAACATAAACTTTGACGTACTCTAGCGGTTTTGCGTTTTGTTTTCGACCATGCATTCTTTGATAAAAATTGTTTGCTTGGGTGTGTACTATCATTTCCTAAAATTTTGACTATCTTTTTAAAATCACCCTATATATATATAAATATTACTTAAGACACAGCATTAAATCAGAGGTTATAGAATACAGCTAATATTTATTTTGCTGTAATGAACCACTAAATAACAGTTTTGCTTAATATTATAACGTAAAGTCACCGAGAAGAACAGCAAATAATAATAAACTTAAAAAAGCATTGGAATTATTTTATCTTTATTTGTGTCTGTATTTGTCTAAATTTTATGCAAGATTTTATAATGTTGTTCAGGGCTGATTTATTGATGCTTTTTTCATCCTGTACGAAGAACGGATATTCAGCTAGTAATAAAATAATTTTTAAAAAAATGTAAGAATCTACAACTTTTCTATGGTATGTGTATGAAAGTGTAATAAATAAAGTATTGCATATAGTTAATAAAAACCAAATTTATATAGTCTTGGCCAATTAATTTTTAGGAATTATGCTCATTTTAATTAAAGTTTATCTCAAGGTTAGTTGCAAGAATTTTTTATAAATTTCTTAAAGTTAGCAAATTAAATATCTGTGGTTTATTTGAAATTATTATTTCCATCGAACACCGCCAAAATTTCATCTGTTTTCTCTAAAATTTTTATAAGAAATTCTTACAATACGAGTACATATTTTAAAATGAACGTCATATAAAATGAATATAATGTCTGGAAAATTAGCCGAGACTATATAAACTAGTTTATCAGTTATGCGCAATATTTTGTATACTCTTTCATGCAGCACCATGTATTTTTTTTTTAAATTCCATTATTTCATTTCAAACTTTTTTGTCTTAGGATTCATTAAACTTTTAAATACTGTTTTTTTCATGAAATACGATTTTAAAGTATAACTATAAGGGAAATANAGCTGAAAAAAATCAGACTGACTTTAGTGAATTCAGTTCATTTTTTTGTGAATTTATAAAAGCGAAATAAACTTTTTTTTTACCTTTTTCGCTAAAATTTAAATCAGTTTTACCAATTTTCGCTCTAATGTTTACTTGCTATTAAATTAAACATTTAATAAAATCAATTTCAGCTTCTTAGCGAAGCGGAATCATGATGCAATGAAGCATCATGAAATAATTTCTGTTCAAACATATTAAGAATTACATCATAAGGTATAGTAATTATAAATTTAAAAGTAACCATCTTAACATTTTAGAACATCGAAAGTACCTTAAAACATCTTTTTATCAAATAAAAGTTTATCGCTTTTATATTATTTAAATAACTTAAAATGAAAACTCAAAGATATTGTGACTAAATATAGTTTGTAAAACTTATAATTATTTTACAATGAATTTTGATTGGCGAAAAATTATTTTAAATATTAAATTCAAGTAGAAAGAAAGCTTTAAATTTTGTAAGTACTTAAATATCTGTTTATAGAGAAAGATCTTAATTTCGAAGCTATTTACTGAAATGAATTAATTATAAATCTCTTTATAAATCTTACACTAGTTTAATTGATGTTTTTCAAATTTTTAACAGGCATGGTAAAATTACCTCTGTATAGTAATGATACACCTGGTAATAAAACTCTGAATGGTAAATAAATCCAAAATATATGATACTTAAACCATTTATTAGGTCTTTTTTTCCGTTTATTGTTTTACCGGAAAATCTGGTTTCAAAATTATTTTTAAAACATTTTATCATATAACATCAAACTATATTTTATTGCTAATTTTACTAATACCATTACCAAAGCACTTTGCCAAAGATTCAGAACTTTCTGGTGATATCTAGTATTTGATAGTTTACTCCTTACTTTTTTTCTCAGCGTAATATCATCAAATGTTATTTGTTTAAAGTATTACATTTGAATTTTACAATTCATATTGATTGGCAAGAAACTACTTTCTTTTTAAATATTAAGCTAATTTGATTTTAATATTTTACCCGTTTGAATTGTTCCTTCTCATTAACTCACATGACTTATAATATTTCAAGTAATCAATGAAATTCAATATTCAAAATAAGCAGGTAAGCAATTTGATAATTTTCGAACGTGATTAATATTCAAATCTGCATGACAGCTTAATAAATAATAGTAATAAAATTTCAGCGATAGAATAAAATGCATAAAGAATTTTAAGTAAAAAAGAAATTAAAACTCATCATGCAAATAACATTGTGCAATTTATTTTACTTCATAAAATAGAATGAGACATCACAATTGAAAAGAGTACATTCATCAATAAATAATTTTCACTAAATTAAATTAACTCATCTAACTATAAATTGAGCTGAAAATTTCAATTTAGCACAGGACAACTAATACTACTGTTCAGCTTTGTCTTAAGTAGTTGAAGTTTTGAAGGTATGATATTTAAATTACAATGGTATTTGCATTATTTGTATTTACGATAAAATAATATTATAATGTAAAATGCATAATTCTTTGAATATCTTTTTCAAATTAAATTTATTTATTCAAATAGAAAATCTTAATTTGGTTTTCTTAATTTTTCCAATGTAACTTTATGCTATTTTTTGAGGTAAAATCTAGTTGTTTCATTCATATTTTAATTTTTTTCACTTCTATTTACTTGTTTATAAAAACTAATGTATAAACATTAGCCAGTTACATATTCGAATATTATTTCTAATCATCAATCATTTTAAAATGATTTTTCAACAAAACATAAAATGTTTTACTACACTGCAGAAATTTTTGTGTGTCTCAACACCAAAAACGGTGGCAACTATTTTACACCAAAGTGTTGCAGTAAAACGCACTTTTTACTAAGTTTTAGTTTCTATTACTGATGAATTCTGCTGTGAAATCCTTTTTAATTAGAAAACTTTAAAGTTTTAAAATAAGAATGTGGGCTTTAATACATTGGTTTACTAGTCTTTCGAAAACATTACTTGATTTTATTAAACTAAGAGGTTATTATATTCAAATTACTAAAATATTAAAGCATTTAGCATCAATTTTAAAACTACGAAACTATAATCGTATTTAACATGCGCTATGGGCAAAGCTTTGCTTAACTTGTTGATTCAATTATAATCTGTATAGAGGAATTTCATATATATTAGATTGGAGAATTTTTCTATAAATAGTGTTTACTTACTATCTTATCATTTTATTTCTCTACACTTCGTTATTTATTGTTACACATTTAGTGTATATTTGTTAAATATTTTCATTATTCTTATATTTTTTTAAATATTTTACATAATAATACATATAAAAAAGTAAAACAGTAATAAAACTACAAATTCTTCAATTAAATATTCTGTTTTAAATGCATTGGACATCTCAGTTTGAATCTTTTAGAAATAGTTTTAAAATATTTTTTTTGTTTCTAAGTATTCTATTCAATTATTAAGATAATTGAAATATTTCAAAATAATTTAAAAATAATTTCTTCTTTTTATGCACTTCCAGTTTTACCCTACTTGCTAGAGTGTGAACAAAATGAAGATAACTAATATTTTACTAGTTACTGTTTTTGTAGTTTTAATAGGTAAGTTCATGCATATTTTTCATGGATGATATATCTTTTGTTCATGTTAAAACCATTTGCATTTAGGAGAAGAGCTTTTATTTTTCATGGGTGATATATCTTTTGTTCTTGTTAAAACCATTTGTATTTAGGAGAAGAAAAAAGAAAAAAAAAGATTGAATTTATTCTTTTTTCATTTTCTGAAAGTTTATAATATATAATGCAAACTAATTTTTTAATATTCGAAAATTTGAAGGATCAAATACAGATTCATAGCGCGTAGCATGTATGAGATTTCTCACTTGAATAAGTTTCTTATGCAATTACAGATTGCTCAATAACCACTACACACAATATATATTTTTCGCAAGAAATAAATTGCAAAAAGTATCAGATCATTAGGGACCTCAAATCAATAATTGAAACAGGAAAAAAAACAATGATGTTCTCGAATAGGTAAAAAAATCGCTTAAAACATATTTCCAAAGTATCTATAGAAAGTAACTGGATGCCTATATTAGTATACTGGTTATACATACTGAATACCTATACATTAAAACAGCATCAATTATCAGAATGCTCCATTAGTATATATTTCCATAATTCAGCACGATTAGTGCAAGTAATATTTTGGTAAATATGACGGTTCTCCTGGAGATTAAGAAGGTTACCTCTATTAGCTTTTCTTTCTAATACATAGTTTACTTTTTTATTTTCAGTTAGTAACAACTGCCAAAATAAATAAGCATCATTAACCGATAAGGCGATTTGTTTCCGTTAAATGAATAAATACCCTTTTTCTCCTTTTGTTAATTTAAGTAAATCGCAATTTTTTAAACTTAATTACCATTTACTTAAAATTTTATAGTTTTGTAGAATTGCATAAAAATGTTTAAATAGTAAAGAACTTGGTCAAAACTCTTTTTTTATTAAATAGGGCTAAAAACTAGCTAGCATCACTGATTTTATCTTTTAAAGTTGAAAAAAAAAACATTATTTCAGAGCTCAATTTAACAATGCAAAAGTTAAAACAATGAGAAAAAAAAATCTTCAAACGTCTCGCCAGATATGAATTTTTGAAAGATTTTTAGGATTGAAAGCTAAAATTGTCCTTGGTTACCTCTGTCCAAAATTATTAACGCTAGCGGTCAATGGTTACGGTGTTATGAAATAGTCACACGGACACTTTTTATTAACTAATAACAAAAAGCATTAAATCTTCTAAATATTTGAATTGTTCTGTCCTGTATATATCATCTTCTGAAAAATCTGTTTTCTTTTTATTTTTAGCTGCTGTTGTTGAAGGAAAAGAGTGTGTGGAAAATAGATGTAACAAACACTGCATGAGAATTGGACAACAGAAAGGAGAATGTAAAGATGGTAAATGCTCATGCAACGGTATGGATGATGCAGGAGAGCAACACCCTCCTACCAAATCAGCTTTAACTATGCTTTTACATGCAGCAAGTCAAAGAAGGGGCTAATGAATTAATGTGAAACTTGACACGACAGTTTCAATATATGGCATTTTAATTTCATATACTTCTGTTATTAATATTTCCAAATAAATAATAGAAATAAAATGCTTTCAAAATCTCTCAAAAGTAAAGAATCAAATAAAGAAAGTTAAAAAAAAGTTTTATTCTGTGTGTTTATTTTAACAAATTTTTATAGATTCCTAAGTTTGACATTAGTGCACGATAAAAATAAATTCCCGACAAAAAATTACCTCCTTATTTTTGCAGAATTTTTATTTTTAGGGAAAAAGAAGTTATATAGACACACATTATGTATATTTGATGTCGCATATATGTTTCTTATTTCTCATATAACTTTTTTTAAGGTGTTCGTGCGGACATCCCTGTTTTGTTCAACCCAGGCGAGTTTGATAAAATCAGCTAACTGTGATGGCAACTCCGATTGGGACAAAAACGTTTAAAAACACTTGTCAGCCCAGAAGACTCTTTACCGTTGTTCTTTTGTCAAACTTTCATGATTTTTACTGGTGCTGCATTGACTGTATTCAGCTCAAATAAAATGTTTCTTTTTCGCAATCCTACCGACAAACCTACACTGTTAGAATTTTCATTCTAAAATTACTGTAAAATAACCGGCAGCAATCTGTCCATCCAATTAACCGTAAAGTTTACGGTAAAGAACATTTTTTACCTTTACTTCTTTTATACCATTTACAACTAGAATAGTTTGCAATTGTAAAAAAGAAGCTTAACTGGCCATTGGAGTTAGGCTTTGCGTTGAGTAATAGGCATTGGAGTTAGCTTGTGGTTTATCAGGAGAAAAAATTGCGTTGTCAACTCTGGTACTCCCATTTTGTCGGTCATAAGTTGACAGATTAACATTCTCGACTAAAGTATGTACCCAGGTCCATAGAATTAAGTGGCTTCAATGGTGAGAATATAATTTTTGTTGTTTAACCACATTAGATGAAAGGAGTTAATAAACAGTTTTTGTCACAATTTATAAAAGCGAAATAAAAGTTTTATTCCACAAAAAACTAATGCTTTAAATTTGTATTTTTAGATTCTATAGTTCAAGTGAAAGCTGAATGTACTCAAGGATGCCCATTGTCCCCAAAACAATGTTTAAGTTGTTGCATTAGCGAAGGCCATGGATATGTTCCTGTCATAATATTTTCTTTTGCCAATGCGGTGATTGAAAATAGTAAAATAATTATCTATTCAAATGAGAATGAAATATGAAAGAATAATAAAATAATTGATTCTGATTTTGTAATTTTCTAATACGGTTTTATCGATTATTTAAGTTAAAAAACATGACTAGTGCAAAAACATGATTTCAGGCAAACTTTTCGACATGGATTTAAAACAAATTTAAAATCCCTGCACTCATAGCCTCCTAAAAATACGTTACATTAGCTTGTATTGCAATTATTTACAAAGTTATAGCAGTTTTTCTGCAAAGTGATGTGGATAGAGTAATAAATTTTAAATTTTGAAATGCGTTGTCTCAAAATCAGATTTTTTTCACACTTTTCATCACTCTTAAACACGATATTTCCTGTTGTTTTGAAAAAAATTGTCTGTAATTTTTCATGGGTATTTATGATTGTAGCACACATGTTTTGAACTACAGACTAAGAAATTAGAATTTCATTTTCTATGGATGTTTTTTCACGAAGACAAGCACGAAAATTTTTAAAAATTTGCTTTTTAAACTACANATTAACATTCTCGACTAAAGTATGTACCCAGGTCCATAGAACTATGTGGCTTCAATGGTGAGAATATAATTTTTGTTATTTAACCACAATAGATGAAAGGAGTTAATAAACAGTTTTTATCACAATTAAGAGTTTGAATATCATCATATTTGTGTGACTGATTATTTGTGTGATTGATTATTTGAACCATTTTGTTCGAGAAATTTCTAACAGTGTGAAAGATCAGCTGCTTGGAAATTTCTTGAAAAAAGAAACATGGTTGTGCTCAAACTTTCGACAAACACTGTATATTATCTTTTTATACACAAATAGTACGATTTAGCCAACATACAATAAATAACTATTTTCCTACACTAAATAATTATTATTTTACATGAGAAGGATTGAAAAATTTAACATTGTTAGGTATATAAATTTTTACACCATTTTAAATGATAAAATAGAAAATTTTAAAGAAATCGGTCAAATAATTTATGTTTATAAAAATATAAAATCTTACATTTTTAAACCTTCATTAGTTCAATTTTTTTTGTCATTTCAAAATGTTCAATTTAAAATGAAGTAAAAATTTGCATACCTTACTTAATACTTGCATACTTTACTAAAATGTGCTTACCTTTTAAATAAAATTATAAATGATAATTATTGAAATCGATTTTTTTACATAGATTCATATTTGGATAAATAAATTTCTTAATTGCCGTCATATATTTTTTTATTCGTTTGAAAATAAATCTGAGATATGGCGGAAATACGCAAAAAGTGAAATTTTATTTAAAGGACTCAAATTTTCCTTCGTTATTCTGACTAAATTATTGAGACCAGATTTTCATTAATCGAAAATCTAAATCCGTCGAAGAAATGAGCATGTTTATTCAGAAAATAAACATGTTTGTCATAAATAGAATAAATAAACATGTTAAACATATCATTGTCTAACATAATGAATAGTTAGCACAAAATAATCAGCATATTTATGGTCCCCCTTTGAATCATAAAAATTGTCACTTACAATGGCTTGCCAAAGTCTCCGGCCAGTAAATTTCTTATAACTTTTTCTAGTTCTAGCTGTGGCGGCCAATGGTTGCGGGTTCGAATCCTACTTAGGGCATGAATGCTTCTCTCATTATGTTGCTCTTTGTTGTGTGATGTGTGAATGTGGCCCACCCTATTAACGGGTATCTGTGGCAGTGTGGCGTGGGTAATGTTGCGCGTTTCCGTGACTTTGGTTGGAAGGTGCTTAAATAAGTGAAAATATTAATGAATTTTATTTTATTTACTAAATCAAGTTCAAATAATATCCCATTTTTATTTATTTATTATTATTTGTAAGAAGAATTGAAATCAAAGAAACTATAAGAAACCAATATACTCTAATGTTCAATGCCTCGGTCCAAAATAAAATTTTAATTTAGTTAAAATTATTTTTAACACATAGAAATTTAAAGATTAATACAGCTACTAAAAATGATATGATACTGTCAATAGTTTGTAGCCACACTGTAAGAAATGTATTAAATTACGGTAAGAAAGCACCGACACTCAAGGTACCTATACTTTTTACCGTAAAATAAATTTATTTTCGGAACATTTTTTAAAATAATATATCTGATATACCATCACAATTTTTACAGTAATAATTACAGTAAAATAATTGAATTATTCTAATTGAATCTAATGATTAATACGGTAAAAATGGATTCTGTGGTAAAATGGATTTTACGGATGATGCACCCAATGTGCTGGTACTTCATGCCGTAATTTGATACGAATTTTCTTACAGTGCATATCTCTTGCAGCAATTACATATATATCATAGTATCATAGTATCAGCATAGACTTAATAAGAATATACAGTTAGAATGGGATCCATTTTGTTTGCAATTCTCGGAATGATCGGTTTTATTTGAATTTTCATGTCTTCTTACAAGACGTTTAGCTCTTCTGATAAATGACACGAGTAATTAAGTTTTGGAGATTAATATGACCTCGGTAACACATCAATATTTTTCCTGCAAATAATTCCTTGGCAAGATTTAAGGTGTAATTCATGGCTTTGCTAATACTTGCGGAAACATTGACTGCATTGTACACTGTGATATTTGGTTTGCATATACACTTTAAAATACATCGATACATACAGAAATTCGTAAAGCTATCAATTGACACAATGGTCTGGACCCCTGATGCTAAAGACACTCCAAACCATTACATTAAAAAGCCCATTATAGACTAAGTGATATAGATGACCGATATATGTAATCTTTTTAAATACGTACTTATAATATTACTATTTTATGTATCTTACTTTCATAATAATTTTTGACGAACAAAGCAAAATTGTACAATGAATACCTTCTTACGGCCATGTTACAAATTATCTCACGAAAGTAATACCTTTTATGTTTTGCGTTCAAACTACTGATTCTTCATAATTAAGATTTACTACAATCACAATTACGATTCTCGTAAATAAGTACTAAATCAATATAATGAATCGAACATTTTTATAATCATTTTTCGCATAATAATACCCCGGCTCTATAACAAAAAAATCGACGCACCAAGAAGCAATCATCCGATTGCTTTGAAATTTCGTATGCATGAATGTTTTGAACAGATCAGACTGGAATGATGCTGACTGGGGACGTATAGTCTTTAGCGACGAATCCCGTTTCCAACTGGGTCCTGACGATCATCGAAGACGTGTTTGGAGACGCACAGGGCAGAGAGGGATCTTGCCTTCACTATTGCACGCCACACCGGCCCTCAACATTATAGTCTGGGGGGCCATTTCCTTTGACAACCGGACCCTTTTGGCCGTCATTAGAGGTACACTTACTGCACAGCGGTACTTCGACGACATGTTAAGACCTGTTTTGCTACCGTTCCTTTTGCAGCGCCCTGGGCTGGTTTTTCAGCAAGACAATGCCAGACCACATACGGCACGTGTTGCTATGAACTGTCTGCAAGATCGTCAAACTCTTCCTTAGCCTGCCAGATCACCAGATCTCTCTCCCATCGAGCATGTCTGGGATATGATGGGAAGGCGATTGCATCTGGCACGGAATGTTGATGACCTCGTTCGACAATGGGATCGAATTTGGCAGGAAATACCGCAAGAGACCATCCGGGAGCTTTATCGGTCTATGCCGCACCGTGTGGCAGGCTAGCTCCGGGTCAACACCTTATTGAACGTGTTACTGTAACTCTGCAATAAATTATTCAATTGTTCTGAAATTTTAATCATTTACTATTCTGGAGATTGTCTTCCTATCTACCAATTTTCGTTTCAATCGGATTACTCCTTCTTGGTGCGTCGATTTTTTTGTTATAGAGTGTAAATAGCTACCCATAAAATATGTAGGAATTGACTAATAACGTTAACTGAGTAGCCCAAGATTCAATGGCACGAAA